AGTTTGAAAACACGACATTCAAGACGTCCGTCATCACTTCATTAATAGCATTAAATACATATGTGTAAAACCGTGGTAAAAAGAGTTATATTAGGGTTACAGTGACCTTGACCTTTCTAATCAGTTCATCCTTTAGTCCATGTTGACGTTTGTGCCAAAATAGAATTCCTTCGAGGTGTTTCAGAGATATTGCTGAATTGGAGGCATAAAGACAGAACCGAACACTAAATCAGTCCCGGTGTTTAAGACTGAACGAGACGGGGAAAGATGCCACAACTGAAAATCCAAATCACCCAAACACATTTACATTTCTTAACATTTGAGTCATTTGCATGGAAAGAACAGTTGATGTTTTGCACAGCAGATGGCTTTATATCCCACACCACACACCACACACCACACACCACACTGCCAATGGCTACTTGCAAAAGGGAAATGGTTTAATGGTGAGAACACACATTTAAAGTGCAGAACAATTCATTTGATGGTTTCCTGTAATCTTCTACTGCAGAATAATGAAACAAAAACACATTTTAAATAGAACACTCTGTAGTATGCATACTTCATCAGATATCCACACAAACAAGAGGCTTTGATTTCTGACGCACAGCTTGAATAAAGCACCATAAAGGCACCATAAAGCCATCCTACAGCTTCCACCTCCCACCTCCACAGAAAACAAATCGCCGTGGACAATCTGCTCTCCGTTCTCTGCGCTGATGAGCTGTTTCTGACGCCAGATGTCTCAGAATAATGGCCCTTTCTTTGTGTACCTGTTATCATTTATAAATAAAGCTGCAATCTAAAGGGCTGCTGCATCCTCTTCTCTGAGTGCTCTGTGATTACAGATATGACGGCGCTGTGGCTCCATAAGAATGGCAGTAATGTGAATAATGAACACCCTGAAGATGGCTTTCATACAAGAATGACAACTGGTCTGCTGCCTGAAGAGTTTTTTAAAGCAGAGGGAGCGATCACAAGAATAAAACCAGAGCAAATCACATAAACGTACTGGTTTCTGTAAGGTTTTAGTGACTGGTAAGACAGCAGGAGTGACTGTAATTTAGACTGATTTGCCTACACACACTGTCTGATGCAAATACTCTTAATGTTTCTTCATGTTTGCATGCAGCATTAAACCCTAAATAGGCTACTGGACAGATGAAAGAAATCACTGTTTATATTTTAATCACAGTAATATCATACTGGAAATAATTAATTTAAAGGTGGGGTATGTAATCTTGGAGAAATCAGCTCGAGTGCGCTAGAATTTGAAAATACACAACCGGAAAAAATCTGCCCCTTCCTTCAGACTTCCTTACAGAGCCCCTCCTCCAACACACACGAACGCACACATGACCAATGAGGGCACAAGATAAGTTTGTGCACAGATGGAAGGCTGACAGGCAGGTAGGCCATCCAGTTATTTTAGCCGGGCCGGCTCAGATGATTGGTCGTGCTTTTTACAGCGCTACGGCTTCCACAGATGACATTTTTGTATGGATTTATTGTCAAAGCACTTAAGATATTCATTGCTATCGGGATAAGAGCATTCCATGGAATATAACAAAAAGTGTTTCTGAAATCAATTACATAGCCCACCTTTAAGTTAAAAGCAGTAGATACTTTTCAGATGCATTGCATTACATATCACAGTTGTGCAAAATTGCATGGTTTTCTACTCAAATGTTTGCAAATGATTCGGCGTTTTTAACACTCTTGTACACTAAATTTGCTAATTATATAGTAGTCTCACATAAATATGTCTTTGATGGTACTGCACAACGACTGAAGCTGTCTCTCTAGATGAGAGCATCTGCTAAATGTCTGAATGTAAATACAGTTAAATGATGGCTTGTGTTAACACCAATGTGACTATTTACAAACTCTCTGTGTGACAGTGATTCTAAAGTTCAGTATTTAGAGAGACAAGCTGCTTCATGTGTCAGAAAGGAAGCCGTCGTGTGCACCCTGTTTAATTCAATTATGAACAGGAGAGAAGTCAGAGCTACATGTGCTTTAGACAGAACAAACAGTTTATCTGAGCGGCATCAACAACAAAAAATGGCTTCTACTTTTAGACAAGGAAACAGGGGTGAAAGGTTCACAATGTAAAGCATGAACAGGTAATTTTGATGCTGCTAAGAAGGGAAGAAACCACACAAGACACCGTGCTGTTTTTTGGTTGTTGTTTTAATGGAATGTATCTTTTCGAGGTATGAAAATAGATCTCACGTTGAAATAAGAAATAGGACAGGGGCTACAAAGGGCACAGCTAATAACTGTGTGTGTGTAAAGATGGCAACACCAAGGCATGTCAGAGAAGCTTCAGACCGATAAAGGGCTCAGATATATTTCTGTGTGGGAGATGACAGCAACACAGAGGCATGTGTTGGTTTGACTGTGATAGAGCATTGGGAACAATTCCAGCAAAAGGGAAACAACATCATCCGTTTTCCTGACGATAGCGTCACCGCTCGACAAAAACAATGGAGAAGGCCGTTATCTGTCACGTTCCTGTAAATATTTCCCTGTATAAAACCACTTCAGTTTCACAAAAGTGACATTATTTAGTCTGTTAATTTTCTCCTCAAGAGCTGTAATGTCCATGTGTAATGTATGTTTTAGATTACAGATGTTTCTTGAACATTTCTCAAAGCTTTGTTGTGGTCAATGTCAGTAGGTGAGTCTGATTTCACTTAATTTAGCTTGTTGGCAGGAAGCGTAAATTGCAAACTCAAACATACAAAAATGGCCACAGCATATGTGATATTGGAAAGTCATCCGTTAGACAAGGAGCTACAAACATGTTTATTTCCTATACGTAACTTTCAAGCCCTTGTTACACAATATTGCCAAGGAAAATAACAAAATATCCTACAAATGACAGCTTTCCAACCATGTTTTTCCACAATGTAAGACACAGAACCTTGTAGCAGCACTACTTTGACTCATGTGATTTCACCAAACAGCCTCAAAACTAAGGGTCTGGCATTATAGCCTGCAGGACTGTAAATCACTTGACACAGATGAACAAATCACAAAAACTCTGAAATGACTCTTTTACAGCCTCTCGGTCCAATAAACATTGAGAGTGACTTCCTCATGTCTCCCTGCACACATGAGTGGCACAAAAACAATTCAGTCTGCTCGGCAAAGCACTGCAGTGTTTGTCCAACAGCCAGAAAAACATTCGCTTCTTTTGCCTGCAGCGATTTAACCTTCTGGTACAACCCAGTCTCATGGCATTTCGTGTTATAGTCATGAAATTAATTTAATCTATTGATTCGTGTTCACCAACACGATTTTTGCATTTTTTTCGTGTCACACAGAATGATTTTAAAAGCAATGTATTTCTATTGGTAGTATATTTCGTGCCTGCACCACATCTTTTTGAATTATATAATGTCGGAGTTTTTTTGCCGTCCGCGAGGAAAAGAAATGGGGCTCAGAGCCTCAGAATACTGAAATCTGTATTTATTTATGTTTTTTCCTTCTAATTTGTTATTATTTGGTGCAGGCACGAAACATACTACCAATATAATTACATTGCTTCTAAAATCGTTCTGTCAGAATACTGAAATCTGTATTTTTTTATCTCTTTTTCCTTCAAATTTGTTATTATTTACATTGCTTTTTTTTCAATAGATTAATTTCGTGACTATAACACGAAATGCCGTGAGACTGTTGGCTGGTAATGAATGGGGCATAAACAACCGTGGCCCAGCACTAATTTAGGTCCAGAAAGTGTTGAAGCAATAAACATCCTCAGGAAATATGTTATTCTAGATGCTGTTTGATGTAGAGATTACTCTCAGGACTAGATGGCGAGCTAAAATCCAACCAGTGAGCCTGGATCATGCTAGTATTAGTTAGTCATGATAGAACTTTTCTTGACAAGCTAATTAGCACCATAGCTAACTTACAGTAAGCAGCAAGCTAGTTATCAATGTAATTCATTTACAGTAGGCAAGCTAGTTAGCTGATTTACAGTAAGCAAGCTAGTTATCAATGTAGCTCATTTACAGTAGGCAAGCTAGTTAGCTATGTTACAGTAAGAAAGCTAGTTAGCACAGTAGCTAACTTACAGTAAGCAAGCAAGTTAGCAACGTAGCTAATTTACAGTAAGCAAGCTAGTTAGCACAGTAGCTAATTTACAGTAAGCGAGCTAGTTAACAGAGTAGCTAACTTACGGTAAGCAAGCTAGTTAGAGATAACGTGGTAATAAATTGACCTTTGCTGATTCAAAAGACCTTCCCTATTTGTACCATTGACTACATTTACCTTAACATGACCCTTATACAACTTGGAATATTGTCATACTCACAAAAACATTGGAATATTGGTGTGCATGTAAACATAGTTTGATGCCTCGGTGCCTCACTGTCAACAAACCATGCCTCTTTAGTGGAGCCAAGTCAAATGTAAACGGCTCACTAACTGAAATAGCTTCTGTTTTGCCCAAGCAGTTAAAACATATCTGAATTTATACAGATTTTTAAATATCATGGAACTTTTGCTTTGTTTTTCGGTTATCAAATTGAAATGGTAGGCTTCCTCCGCCTTTAGAATAAAATAGTAAACCGTGCCCATCTACTCAGATTGGATGCAACCAATTAAATAATCTTTAGCGCTGTCAACATAACAGAAACTCACTCGGCAAATTGCCAGAGAACTAAGCTCTTTACTGTAGCCACTGAAAAATAAACTGGGGTAATTAAATAGTATCTTACTCAGATTTAAGACTCATAAGAAAGCAAAAGATAGAACAAGTTATGTATGAATGATTGAACATTGATGTACACACAATGAAAATACTAAAATGCACTGTGGCTCTTAAATCAAGCAATCAGACTCATGCAGGTTTCTCATCCTATATCTATAGTATTCATAGTATAATCTGAGCTGTAACACTGCACAAGGGAGAAGATGTTATGAAATTATTCTTTGGTTTACTTGAAAAAAAAAGGAAAACATGGATATGTGAGTAACTCTATAGCAACCATCCAAACACAACTTTATGTAAGATTATTCCCAACAGGCTTTGTGTGTAACAGGAAGCTCTTGTTCCACTCTAGCAACAAACACACTGAACAATCAACAACATAACACTTTTTTATAGAAAATATATATACATCTAATAAATAAGGGATAAACCCATTGAACGGTAGCGAACGGTTGTTTCTTCACATGCTTTTTGTCCATCAGTCCTTAGTGAAATACGTCCGTGTGTTGGAAAAGGAGACGCTGGTTTAATGTGGAGGAGAATGGATTTCTGCGATGATCAATATTCATCCTCCAGCTGAGCGTCCAATTAACCTGCGGATGCAATCAATTAGACGGACTGCCGCAGAGTGACGGTGACACAGGAGGCAATTCTGAAGTCATTTCATTCCTACAGTCTTGATCAAACCAGACACACTGACAGAGTAGAACAACTGTTTTCCCCTCAATGTATGTGAAAGTTCAACTGAGGATACATGTATTTCTTGCTCAGCAGGGTCGTATAGCCAGGATTTAAAGAAAAAACGAAGTAAAGACAAGTATTACTCAATCATGGAAAGGCTTTTTGAGTAGAGTCCTTTGAAAGAGAATCATATTGGGAATATGAGCATGTCGAAAAAGCAGAATTGTTTTCTCAGGTTGAACCCTCAGTAATACAACAGCTCACCATGTGCCATAGAGAGCAACTAGCATGGAAATCTGTTGTCCAAACAGAGCGGCTTATCTCTCTGATGAGCAGATGTGCAGTTGGCCTGTACAGCTGCATATTCTGGGCATATGGCACATATTACTGAGTCACTGTATGCTTTAGGTCAGACTGTCAGAGCAAATTTGGAAGTCATTGTATGTGCATTTACTGAAAATCAAAACCTGGCTTTGAACTGCCGAGCCTGAACAATTCATTGAGTGTCAAATGCTAAATATATAGCTTTAACACTGTGGAGATATGTTCATGTTTCCTGTTGTAATTACACTACAGTTCAAATCTATTTCCCTCTGATCAAAGACACAAAGACCCTCCATGTATGAAACATCAAATCTGCCTGGGATTGGATATCCTGATCATTCTTCATGTAGAGGATTTTACCTCCAGTAGTCCGTCAACATTTCTTTCTTTTCTTTCATCCCTTTATGGTGAGTAGTGTGTAACCTTTGATGCACACAGATGTCCTTTCATTGCACACATAATGAATATAATTACACTACATGGGGGTTTAGTTCTGTTTCTCACTGCTTAAAGACATGAAGACCCTCCATGTATGAAATATCAAACCTGCCTTAGATGGAATGGATATCCAGAACATTCTTCATGTGGAGGATTTTACCTCCAGGAGTCTGTTAAACTTTTCAAAGTAAATCCACATTGTGCATTGTTTCGTCTCCTATGATGCCAACAGGCGTCCTCGGTCATTGCATAAATATCCAAGGAGGACTAAAAGGAAACTGTAACATTGGTCCTTTTTTGCAAGGGGGTCCCCAGGTGGCCCCAGAGCCAGGAACCCCGCGTGCATTTCGCTTCCTCTGCACCCGTGATGGTGCACCAATATCCTCCACAAGTCACGCGACGTTTGGAGAGCTGCGCACCGTCTTCTGACCGTGAATCTGACCGGGCATTTGCACCACCAGGAGCTGCTGCTTCTGCCGGGTTGACTTCACGGCAAGGATCGCCTGCCGGTTCTTATACTGCACCATCTGAAGGGTGATCTGCGGCATCCAGCCCTCGTCCTGCGGGCACCTGAAGTCGATCTCCTTCCCCTCCATCATGACCACGGTGAAGTAAACGTACTTGCCTTTACGCTCCACGCAATCCACGGTTTTCATGTTGGCAAAGTGCAGCTCTTTCACTTTCCCCGTGTCTCCTCCACCTCCACCTGGACCTCCATGCTCGTGCTGTTTGGGCTCGTGCTGTTTGGGTGGCAGCAGCAGCACCCCCTCCTCGGTCAGGACGCACCGCTTTTTCTTCCAGAGCTGCAGCAAGCCGTCGCTCCTCTTCTCCAGCAGACCCGCCTTCAACACCACCTTCATGCCGTTTTCCAGCATCTTTCTCCCGGAAAACTGAAGGCTCCCTCCTCCCGGTTAGAGGATAAATGGATGAATGGATGAATGAATGGATGTTTAACCCAGAGCTGCTGCTGAGACTGCGGTGCTGCTGTAGTGGGGGTCTGTCTGTCTGTCAGTGTGTGTGTAAGTGTATAAGTGTGTGTGTGAGGGGTGGGTTTGAGGTGGGAGGGTCTGCTGAAGGTGCACCGCCCCCCTCAGACACAACCAGTCCTATCATTTTTTTGAAAATGTGCATATAGTAGGCTATAGATACAAATAATATATTGATAAAAGTTACCGTTTTTTTCCTTCGTTTTTTCATCCCAGGTTTTTGTAAAGCACTTTGTAACCTTTATACACGTGCTATACAAATACAGCGATTATAAAAAGGCACTAATTCCCAATACACATAGCAGAACCCCTTATAGCCTGCAGATGGAAATGAGCTATTAGCTATAATCTGGCATAATTCATATTTTCTATTTTCTGAGATTAATGTATTTGTATGCATGGTCCTTGTTGAAATAAATACATAACAGAGCCCATAAGAAACATTGAAGTATTACAAATAAATAAGTTATTCAAGATTTGCTAAATGTTATGCTATGCTATTTGGATAAAGTACAGTAGATTTTAAAAGGCTTGAATATTGAAATCCAGACATATTTAAGACTTTTATAAAGTGCTATATAATGAACAGGCTGCAGCCACACATGCGCAAGGGCCCTCTGATTGGAAAAGTAATTTAAATGTCTTTGAAGGAAATAAAATATAACCCCTTACAGCCCATAAGAAACATTAACGAAGTAATACAAATAAGCACATTGGGTGTATGTGGCTCACACTATTACATTTAGCCACAACTCATTATCAAAATAAAAGACTTTCACAATGATTTTCTATTTTCTTTTACGAGGAGAAAATTAGGTGGGCAAATTGGGATGGATTAGAAAACATTACCTGCATTTGTACATTGAAGAGGTACAATGGCGCCCTCTTCTGGCATGTGGATGTGCATACATATTCAGGGTATCTGCACATTTGTCTTCCATTTCTGAGACATCGTCCTCTATGGCTGGTTCAATCTCCTCTTCATCTGGTTCAAAACATTTGTCCAGAGCCTCTCTGACAGAAAATCGCCTACTCATTGTGTCAATGAGTCAAATGTGAGCAAGGCACAAATATAACTGCATGAGAGACAGTAATGGAGGGGCATTTACTGCGAGAAAGTGAGAGGTTTTTCTTTCTCGAGGCAGAGCTTGCACCTGTATGAAGGTATGATACATCATACAGCGCGAGAAAGTGAGAGGTTCCCGTAACTTAGAGTAAATTGTTTTGTCTGGAAGGTGTGGGGGGACATAAGCACAAGTGTTTTTTTTTGTTTTTTTACCCGAAACGCAAGAGAAGGGTTAAAGACCTCTAAAAGGAAAAAATAATACCAATACAAAAAAATCGATGAACTAGACAGTCTAAAGCGTTACTGAGTTTTATTGCATTTGAATAATGGGAAATATTCAGTGCACATTACCCAACATGACTGCCTTTGCATTAACAAAAATAAAATTGTATGGCAGCAGACCAATGGAAACATTGTGCCCCCTTCACACTCATTAATTCTGCCCCAGATACAATTTAATACCAGACCTTTTTAGACTTTGAATATCAAAAAAGACTTTTTAAGGATCCGCAGGGACCCTGATATTATTTACACCACCTGCATTTTGTAGTAACCATGTTTAATTTGTAGAAATATATTGGACAAAGAAAGACGTTGGCAATTGTAAAATCTCGGTTTTGGTCCCAAGTGATTCCAAGACATCGTACACATGAACACAAAGAAAGTCAACAAACCACATGTCCATGTTTAACCAATTTATTAATGAACATACACGTACAGTTATTGAGTACATTAGTATTTTTGTAGCATAGCATTTTGCCTTGACAACAGCTGCTCAGAAGGACCCTACACAAACCCTTTCCAATCAACATGATCTGAATACTCCCTGCAGAAGGAGAAGTACCCTGGCTCTCCACAACTTCAACTAAAAAAGGCATTATTAAAGAAAGATGAAGGGGTCGATGGGGGGGGGGGGGGGGGGTGGGCAGGCTACAGTTTATTCTCCCCCTCCTGGATGTTTTTAAGTATTGCTCGGACATGCTTCCCCGTGGCTTTCTGGGTTAACAGAGGAAGGAGTTTAGGGAGGGAGGGTTGGTCGAAACAATTCCCCTTTTTCTTTCACAGTGATAAAAGACCTCAGGGGCTGAGCTGAGGTCTGATTTTAAGTCACCTGACTAGTCACCAATTAGTGAAATGAGGTAAAAAAAAAAAGGGGTGTGAAAACCTGGTTTATACTTTTTCATAATCTGTGCTACGTGTGTCCAAACCTGGTCCTACAGAGCCTAATCCTCCAGCGGTAAGAAAAGGCAAGGCAATGCACTTTTAAAAACCCAAATAGCACAAGTCTCCACAGAGGGAACTCTACTAAGTGCTGCTTACGAGGATTATCTCACAGCTAACTACCGATAGGACACCACACAAATCGAGTACAAAGTGCTATAATAGAAAAGACAGCGCCACTGCTAGCCTAAGAACTCTCTGGAATGTTAAAGAGAATCGACCACTGACGAAAAAAAGGGGGCGAAACACTTCCGTTTTTTTTTGTTCAATTTGAGATAAAGTCCGTCCAGTTTGTGGAGAAGCGTACTGGAATGTGTCGAGAGCGGGAAAAGTAGACCCAATGCTCAGTGAAGTGGAATAAACTGGAATGACACCTCCGTCCTCCCCCAAAAAAAAAAAGAAAAGAAGATGCTACAGTGCTTTTACATGTGCTTGAACGCCCCCCCCCCCCGCGGCTTAAGGTTAAAAATGTTCACTTGGGACGACCAGAGCTGACCAACCAGGAGCTTTGATAGGAGAAAAGGGGCGGGATGAAGGGAATAAGTTGACGCAACGCAGTCTAAACCACAGCTGTTGTCTAAGAGCAAATACAACAAAAGACTTCACAAGAACCCAAACTAGTTTTAGCAGTGAAGAGACAACTCATGCTTACTTTGAGGGAGATTTTTCATCCTGTATTATAGCTATTGTACAGAGAAAAGAGAAGGAAATAACAGGTCTAGTAAAATACTATGTATATCGAGCCTCTCAGCTCCCAGTATATTACCGTAAGTTTTGTAACAAAAATCGTGAAACTTTTTTGTTCTTCTTCAAATTCTCTACCAAGAAAAATACAAAACATTATAAGGCGGTAACTATTCTTTTTTTTTTTCGTGTTTTAAATCTGGTTTTTTTTTATGTTCTTTTTTTTTTAGATTTGAGAAGCCGTTACAGTGCAGTTGATCCTCAATCAGCCGGGTTTCACTGCTGCTTGCACTCAGCTGGGGGGACCGCCTCCTTCTGAGGGAGAGCAGAGGGGGGTGTTAAGACGTGGAAGAAAAACACACTCTGACACACACACACACTCACTGCATACAAAAAAAAAAAAACTGAAAATCAAACAGCAAAGCCAAGTAAATACAGTTCCTTGAAAGCTCCTCACCTCCCGGTTATTTAGAACAAACGCAGATATGAACGTGGGGAATATGACGCACAGATATTTTTTGATTGAATGCACTGTTTTCAGGATGCTTACAAATGCCGTCATTACAAAAGTGCATTGAATTGTCCTGAAGAATGTGCCGTTGAAAATAGGCCATGTATTGCATAACTCTACTAGGGCTGTCCCGAATACCATTTTTCGGACTCTGGATATTCGGTAGTAATCAGCAGCGAACCGCTTCAACACGTGTATTTCGGTTTATTCACGGCATTCATTTGGTTATTCTACAGTATTGTTGTTTTATAGTTATTTGTTAATGTATATAACCCAATGTGTGTTCTTTGAAATTGAAAAGGATATCGCATTGTGTTTGTTACTTTTCGTTGCAGTTGTATATGTCATTAGTGTAATTTGGCTTGGCTTCCTATTTTGTATGGACATGCTATTATTTTTTAAGGAGAGTTAACGCTGTTGACAGGAAGTTGTTGTTGCTATGGAAACAACGTGACGGAGATTAACGGAGAAAAATCTACATTATAAAGACGGAGAAAGTAAACGATCACGTGTATGGTTAAGTGTTAGCACCCCCGGAAGAGGCACAAGCTCTGACGTGGATATTGGAGATTTCAATAAATTCAATTCGGCAACAACAAAAACGAATATGAAACCCGAATAGTACTCCAACGAACGAATATTCGGGTACAGCCCTAATATCGCAAAAATGTTAAAAATGACCATTAGTTAGTACAGACCAATGTCAGATTATTTGTTCGATAAAAACCTGTTTTAAAAAAAGGTATTTCTTTAATATATAGTGGATTCGATGTACATTTTAAATACATATAAGGGAATTTAATTCAGTCCTGTGTTTATTGACCTATTGGAATGGTTTTATTGATCACAATGCTAGGTGTTACTTGGCATTTAGGAGGTGGTAGTATCAAGGCACCTATTTTGTATGAAAAGTGCCATAAATAAAGTTTGATTTGATAATAAATCTCAACAGATCCTAAGGCCATTATGTTTAAATCATTTAATAATTAAACACTTAAACGTAAAACTCTACACTGTAAGGTCATTTAAGCCATTGTTCAATTTAGCCACGGCTGCACTTCTCACAGTGGAGCCCAAAAATAGCAGTCAATGCCAGAAAGCGTTACAGACTGTAATAAACATCTTGACAGCTTTTTTGTTTACATCTGCTGTACGAAATCTAGTTTAATATGGAAAAAAAGGCAACTAGATAGAAAACACTGGTATTTTTGGATTCCTGACAACTTTAAGTAAGGCCTTTTTTCAAACAAATAGTCCTCCAAAGCCATTATACCAGCATAAAAGCAAGTCTATAGAGAACACAAAGCACGAGACGATCTAAAGCATGGAACCAATAGGCGCTTTCACACCGGAGTACTTTTCCCGTTTAGTTCCGATAGTTCCTGGGATGTTGCGTTCACACCAAAAAGAGAACTTAGTTCATGAGAACTTTTACCCCCTTTTCAGTCCCTGCTAGAGAGGTGGTACTATCCTGGGGAGAAAGAAAGTTCCCATTTCTGATTGGCTGGGCGGATTGCACACCACGCCCCGTAAAACTCTGAAAAGTTTTTTGAAGCCGCCATTGTATTTGCTGGCATTAGCATTAGCCGAGCGCACCAACGGAGAGAGACTAACTTATGGCAACACAAAATAAAACATGGGAGCGGTGGAGATGAGGAGGTGTCGGCGTTCTGGCGAGTTACTCTGAAGGCTTCAGTAGAAGCTGCTGGGAGTCCCAGCAGCTTCTACTGAAGCCAGTCCCCAACTCCGGGGACTTCCGGCCGGGGACTCCGGGTGGCAGTATACACCGTGAAGTTGTTTGCGGCCTGCCAGTAAACCCAAAGCAGAAGAAGAAGAAGTGACGTCAGCGGCTTCATTTGACTAATCCTCCCTCAGGGGACTTATTCCGGTGTGAACGCGATCGGCTCTTAGTTCCATGGGGGAACTAAGTGCTGGGAACTAAGTACGGCAAAGTACTTGGTGTGAAAGCGGCTCTTGATGCTAAAATGTGTATGTAAAAAAAAAAACATCCATGAACAAAACAGAATTCATGATAGACAAAAGTCCCCTCCTGACAGAAACTCAAAACGTTGTGTAAATTCAACATGGTGGAGAAATAAAGACGAAAAGGGAGGGCTGGACTGGCTTCAACATACAGAAACAATACAGGTGCAAATGCAGACGTTGCTATGGGGTTAAAGAGAAACAAAAACCAACAGCAAACCGGTGAGTTAGTAATTAGGGAGGGGTGCAGCACGGCAAAAGAGGAAGGGGTGCAGAGAGATGAATGGAGGATGGAGAAACAGAAGGAAAACTAAAAAGGTGTTTGAGAGGGAAAGGGGTGATGGTAGTAAGCTGACAATTCACAAGCTGTACCTACCAGGAGAGGGTTATTTTTCTACTGTCATCACTTAAACCTAGTGAGGAAAAATTTAAAGAATAGCTGACAAAGGATGCCAAAGTGACCGGAGGTGAAGCAACATCAATGAATAGGAGAAACACAAAAAAAGCCAAAAAACCAGCAGAATACAGAATGTCAAAGGCGCCTTTTTTGGATTTGAAAGGAAGCAGAAGTCATGCTCGTTGTATCGTGAAGTACACTGCAGCAAGTGTGCTTTTAATATATTATGTATCTGGACATTTTGTACATTGCACTTTCAATTTGTTATTATGTGCAATGCTTTGTTTTACGCTGCTGCAACAAACAAAAAACCAAATTGGGATTATTAAAGTTCATTTTATCTCGTTTTAACCCTTAGATGCCCGAGTGACTGGACCCTACACTCTTCCATAAGTGGGTCAAAAAGGACCCGTATTAGAATAATGTGTTATTATGCCATTTCTGTTAAGAAAAATCACTTTTATAATATTTTGGTTCACACTAGAAATATTTTACTATTTATAATTTCAGATTTTCTTTTAACATTTTGAACATATCGATGCAACCATCTGCGCCATTCTGAGACCCTTACAGTATTCCAGTCCCTCTTCTCCTCTTGTCTACTCATAGCCCACCCCCCATCAATCCATGCCGGTTGATCAAGTTTGATAGTCCCATACCCCCCACCCTAACCTTCCCTTATATTGTAAAGCGATTTTGAGTCCTTGAAAAGCCCTATACAAATATAATGTATTATTATGATTATCATCATCCTGACAGGTATCAGATCTTGCTGTGTAAAATAATCTTCCTGAGAGGTGTCACCTGTGATGTAGTCTGTGTGGTCTACAGTGAATGTATTCCTGACAGCAACAGGTGATAAGAATCAAAGGTTCCCATAGGATCCCATAGAAAATGCATGCGGGTCATTTTTGACCCACTTATGGAAGCTTGGGGTAGTAATACAAAAACTACAATTTCTTAAAATGTATACAATTTAAATTTAAAATTTGAACGGCATGATATCCAAAACATGTTTTTTGAGGAATAGCTGGAATATGAAATGATAAAAAAAATGTAATTACAAAGATACTTCAAGAAAACCACCTCACCGGGTCAAAAAAGACCCACTTATGCATCTAAGGGTTAAGACAGTTTAGCTTGTATAACTTTTTCTGCTGTCTGTACAATGTTTTTTTATTTAATTCACAGCTGCTTTACCTCCATCAGGAAGGCAGTGAAGCAGAACATAGTACAGAGGGAGAGGAATCTCAGTGAAATGACTAGAAACCTCTGCAGTTTGTCATTACATTTCATTCAAAACTACTTCCTAAAGCTACATTTTCTCCAAGACAAAGAATGCACTGGAATTGAGGCTCAAAGTGAGTTTTGTTTAAGTAAAAGTGTCCTCCTCCTACTTCTCTTCAATGCATATAATACTGGATCTGTGTGTTGCAAAAGGTTAATGTTTTAGTAGCAACATGCAACAGCAAGACCTCACTGATTCTGAAAATACGGTTCAAGTCAAGAACAATGTAAGCAAACCAGAAGCTGGTGCACGATGAGATGCATTTGACAGAATGTATTCTGTATGTTGAGCAGCTGTTCTCGACCTGCAGCTCAGGCGTAATGCTTAACCTCTCACTGTGACATTAAAGTTCCCTCAGTGTGTGAAGAGAGAGATCAATGGCCGACAGTGAGAGGCGCTTTACTTTTTGAGAAAGAGCCTCCTGAGCCAGAAAAGTTGAGAAGAGCTGAGCACGGTCTTTCTCCTGACACCAGAGATCTTTAGAAAAGGGTGTGTGTGTGTGTGTGTGTGAGTGTGTGAGTGTGTGTGGTCTCACCTTGGGATCATAGTCGGGGTCGTTCTCCTCGTCTGCCTCCTCCTCTCCTTCCTGCACACACAGCAAAGTAAAAAAACGTCAGACTCCTCGATGTCTTCAACTCTAAATGGATGCACGTCTTAAATGTCATGTTCAATTGTTTTTATACAGTAAAAGGACGATATGCAATGTGCAACCACTAGAGGTCTCAGTCAAAAAATATTAAAACAATAAGTCTGTTTGATGGGAGTCGGCTTCTTCCTGATTCTGTCAATGTTGAATGTTCAGGAGGTTTTTGATGAAAGCAGATGTCCTATTCTCCTTTGATGTTTTGTTTTTTCTAGTAACTAAAGATGCAGAAGCTCCATGACTAAAATCATTCATCCGATTAAAGTACAGCGGTAAAACCACAAAGATCCAAACTGTGTATTGTGACAATGTGGCTTATTACTGATTAAAAGTTAGTTTATAAGGAGGAGATACAACATCCTTACAGTTGCGTGTTGGCTTGATATCAAATTACACATCTCTTGGGAGTTTAAAACATTTATAGAAAGATTAGGGATGGTTAGTCTTACCTCATCGTCTGCCTCCTCTCCCTCCTCATCATACTGTAAAACAAAAACATGGAAGGAAAAAAAACATTAAACTTGCTTCATATTTCTAACCCAAATCCAGTAAAAAAATGATCCTGATACTTTAAGTTTATTCCACTTTAAAACGATCAAGGAATCATGTATTAGAAGAGTTTATAATTCTCTTTACTATAAAGCCAAAAAACTATGAAACAATAATGTCTCTCCAAACCCAGTCCCAGAACATTCCTTAAAACATTTTTTTTAGTAAAGCAGTTAAACTTCTTTATTACACAGCTAAGTTGAATACACAATTCTGATTGGAGAGTTCTAAATTGACGAGAGGTCTGCAATTTTTTTTACTAGCAGACTGTCGCTAAGGAGAGCAGACTGTCTGTCGCTAAGGAGAGCAGACTGTCTGTCGCTAAGGAGAGCAGACTGTCTGTCGCTAAGGAGAGCAGACTGTCTGTCGCTAAGGAGAGCAGACTGTCTGTCGCTAAGGAGAGTCTGTTGCTAAGGAGAGCAGACAGTCGCTAAGGAGAGCAGGCTGTCTGTCGCTAAGGAGAGCAGGCTGTCTGTCGCTAAGGAGAGCAGGCTGTCTGTCGCTAAGGAGAGCAGACTGTCTGTCGCTAAGGAGAGCAGGCTGTCTGTCGCTAAGGAGAGCAGACTGTCTGTCGCTAAGGAGAGCCTGTCGCTAAGGAGAGCCTGTCGCTAAGGAGAGCCTGTCGCTAAGGAGAGCTGTCTGTCGCTAAGGAGAGCCTGTCGCTAAGGAGAGCAGACCGACAGTCGCTAAGGAGAGCAGACCGACAGTCGCTAAGGAGAGCAGACCGACAGTCGCTAAGGAGAGCAGACCGACAGTCGCTAAGGAGAGCAGACCGACAGTCGCTAAGGAGAGCAGACCGACAGTCGCTAAGGAGAGCAGACCGACAGTCGCTAAGGAGAGCAGACCGACAGTCGCTAAGGAGAGCAGACCGACAGTCGCTAAGGAGAGCAGACCGACAGTCGCTAAGGAGAGCAGACCGACAGTCGCTAAGGAGAGCAGACCGACAGTCGCTAAGGAGAGCAGACAGTCGCTAAGGAAAGCAGACAGTCGCTAAGGAGAGCAGGCTGTCTGTCGCTAAGGAGAGCAGACCGTCGCTAAGGAGAGCAGACTGTCGCTCTGTCGCTAAGGAGAGCAGACTGTCGCTAAGGAGAGCAGACTGTCGCTAAGGAGAGCAGACTGTCGCTAAGGAGAGCAGACTGTCGCTAAGGAGAGCCGACTGTCGCTAAGGAGAGCCGACTGTCGCTAAGGAGAGCAGACTGTCGCTAAGGAGAGCAGACTGTCGCCAAGGAGAGCAGACTGTCGCTAAGGAGAGCAGACTGTCGCTCTGTCGCTAAGGAGAGCAGACTGTCGCTCTGTCGCTAAGGAGAGCAGACTGTCGCTCTGTCGCTAAGGAGAGCAGACTGTCGCTCTGTCGCTAGGAGAGCTGACTGTCGCTCTGTCGCTAAGGAGAGCTGACTGTCGCTCTGTCGCTAAGGAGAGCTGACTGTCGCTCTGTCGCTAAGGAGAGCTGACTGTCGCTCTGTCGCTAAGGAGAGCTGACTGTCGCTCTGTCGCTAAGGAGAGCTGACTGTCGCTCTGTCGCTAAGGAGAGCTGACTGTCGCTCTGTCGCTAAGGAGAGCTGACTGTCGCTCTGTCGCTAAGGAGAGCTGACTGTCGCTCTGTCGCTAAGGAGAGCTGACTGTCGCTCTGTCGCTAAGGAGAGCTGACTGTCGCTAAGGAGAGCTGACTGTCGCTCTGTCGCTAAGGAGAGCTGACTGTCGCTCTGTCGCTAAGGAGAGCTGACTGTCGCTAAGGAGAGCAGACTGTCGCTAAGGAGGATCAAGGGACTATTTGCAGTCATATCAATCCGCAGAAAGAAGTCCGGTCAATTTAACGACAGCTGTGGACAACAAACATCAGTTTTCTCCATCGTAATAACCGAGATAATGCCCAGCGAGGAGCTCAATAACGAAATTAAAGAACGCCACCACTCACATCATCATCATCATCCTCGATGGCCTCTCCTGTGAAGTAGAGCACCGCCCGGGGTACGATACGCTCACGGATGAAGTGGCCAATCTCAAAGTCTGCAGCCAGGACCGCATCCGAGTCCTCATCCTAAAGAAGAGGAAAAAGTCAAGACATGACGCTTTTAAAAAAAGTACAAAGTAATTGTACATCTTAAGTTTGTCGGTCCGAAATTCCCTTTATAATAATAAAAACAGCAAAAAGTACAAGTGATCAGGCCTTCACAATAAAATCATACGTTTGTAAAAAATAAAATCTGGCCTATGAGGTTTTACGAAATCAGTCCACTTTCTCCATCGTGACACAAATAGTTCCTCTCGATTTTACATGATACTTTTTTTAATGCCATTTTATTGATAGTGTTGACATTTTGGAATGTTTATTTCTAGTCTTTTAATTTGTATTGTACAATGCCATGTCTTTTTATGCTGCTGCAACACAAATGTCCCAACTGTGGATCAATAAAGTACTTATCTTATTGTCAGATATGCAGATTTGTTATGCTCAGGTTTAGAAAAAACGTATTGAATTCTCTTTTAAATGGCAAAGATTAATATAGAAAACATTTGGTTATTTTGGCTGAACAGCAAATATTTACTTTACCCTGGAAATCTCAACTAGAGAGGAGGGTCTTTATTGCTTTTGCTGTGTTAGTCAAGATAAATAGAGTCTATAATTAATGTAAAAGTGTAGATTAAGTACAGCGACTTACCAACTCCCCAGTTTCTGGAACTGTAAAGAAACAGAGAATCAAAGTTAGTTAACCCCAAACATTTTCTAAAATACTGAATCATCTGAAAATGTGACTGAAAGATATAAGGTCAATATACTGTATTATTGTCTGAAACAAAACAAAAACACAGAATCATGTGTCTGAACGCTTTAAGATGCTTAATATTTCTGCCTTACCCTCTGGGGGGGTGAAGAAGTTGAAGAAGGAGTCGTTGGGCACCGTTTTGGTGACAGTCCTCACCGTGCCGCGGCCCTTGTGCTTCTGCTTCTTCTTGATTGTTTTCAACGTAACATTTTTGCCCTTTGTCCAGTCAATCGTGCAACTGTGGTGAAAACACGAGGAGAAAGATCAGCATCCTTTACTCAAGTAGAAGTACAGATACTCCTGTTTAAAAATACTCTGGTGAAAGTAGAAGTACTGACTAAACTTCTTTACTCAAGTAAAAGTAAAGAAGTATGGGCTTTGAAATGTACTTAAGTAAAAAGTACCCATAACTACCATCTGTTTTAAAGAGTAACTGACGTCCCTTTATATTAATAGAACAATAGGTGCTTTCACACCAAGTACTTTGTCGTACTTAGTTCATGAGAACTCTTTAGTTCTGATGAACTAAAGAGCAGATCGCGTTCACACCGGAATAAGTCCCTGAGGGAGGATTACGCAAATGAAGCCGCTGACGTCACTTCTTCTGCTTTGGGTTTACTGGCAGGCCGCAAACAACTTCACGGCGTATACTGCCACCCGAAGTCCCCGGCCGGAAGTCCCCGGAGTTGGGGACTGGCTTCAGTAGAAGCTGCTGGGACTCCCAGCAGCTTCTACTGAAGCCAGTCCCCGGAGTTGGGGACTGGTAGAAGCTGCTTCAGTAGAAGCTGCTGGGACTCCCACTGAAGCCTCGACTGAAGCCTTCCGAGTAAATTGCCAGAATGCCGACACCTCCTCATCTCCACCGCTCCCATGTTTTCTTTTGTGTTGCCATAAGTTAGTCTCTCTGCATTTGTGCGCTGGGCGAATGCTAAAAATGCTAATGCGAGCAAATAAAATGGCGGCTTCACAAAACCTTTTGGGAGTTTTACGGGGCGTGGTGTGCAATCCGCCCAGCCAATCAGACATAGGAACCTTTTTCTCCCATGAAAGTCCCTGCTCTCTAGCAGGGACTGAAAAGGGGGTGAAAAGGTTCTCATGAACTAAGTTCTAGTTCCGGATTTCTTTGGTGTGAACGCGACATTTCCGAACTATATCGGAACTATACTGGGAAAAGTACTCTGGTGGGAAAGCGTCTAATAATGTCATTGTTAGCTAATGAATGTTTCCATGCTGAACAACGGCAACATGACAACGTTTTCATTGGTCCCTCTTCTTTAGAGACAACCAGGAAATGATGGATACACGTTGGAGTGTAGTTGGAGAGGTTTTCGATATCAACTTGAATTATTATGGATTCTCACCCTGTGCAGCACATGATCTCCGGACCGTCGAAGGAGAACGGGTCGGTCTCGTCGGGCTCTGACCTCATCTTGTAGGTTTTCGTCAACAAAGTGTTTGTGAAGAATTCGTTGGGCTCAAAGAGGAACTCTAACGTGAAGCTCTGGGGGAGAACAGAGAGATCACATTTACAGCCTGTTCAAAGATAACACACTGGTTTTAAAGTTTGTTTTGAACACTTCTTACTCACCATGGGCTGTTCTAGGTCTGAGAACTTTACTTTAATATCTTGTAAATGTTTAAGGATGGGTTCGTCGTGTTCCTGAGGAGAGAAAGAACAGCATTCACAAGAGCATCCAGCACTAGTTTCTGATTTAGGAATATATACACATACAATGTTTTCTCATAAGGCCTGTGTCCATAGAGCACGAGCGTCTTTTGATGAAATGCTGAATTTCTAACACAAAAAGCCGCTCTATAGACACACTATCCACACTGTTAGACGCCATGTTCAACACATCTAAGGCCTGCAAGTAAACCTAGAATTCAAAGATGCTTTAGGAATATAACCACCATGTTTTCTCATAAGGCGTGTGTCCATAGAGCACATTTTAGCGCGGCTTGGCAACCGTGTGTGGCGGCAAAGTACATAGAGTAGCGTCTTTTTTTCAATTCATAGCACTGAGAACAGAGCGCATACACACTCATGTGGATACCAGCATGTCTTTGATGCTGAATCAGCCTTTCTGCCAGAAAAAGACACTCTATAGACACACTTTCCACACTAGTGGGCGCTATGCTCAACACAACTACAGGTGGAAGTAAACTCAGTAAACACTGCGTCTCATTTTGAGCCGTCTGGACGAACGTACCTGCAGCATGTCGCTGAGCAGATCCACATTTTTGAAAACCGTCGACCAGAACTCGGGGATTCCTTTGGGGTCTTCCTTCTCCTCGTCCTTCTTCTCTTCCTCCAGCTTGGCCTTCTCCTTCATCTCGTCCTAGTGGAGGAAGAAAGGTTCTCTTAAATATGATGCTTGATCAGGCTTCTCCCCCCCCCCCCCCCCCCCACACACATATATCATGCCATGTAAAACTAAGTTCTCACCGCCTACAACCCACACATTGGTTAAAGAAAAATGAGCCCAGAGAAAGCTACATTTACGGATCAAAACAAGTCAACTAGACAACGCTGATATCTGGAATCAGTCAGTGATAAAACCAGTTTTCATGCCGTTTGAAATAAAAATAACACTCACTTAACAATTCAAGAGACAAACAACATCAATTGCTTAAGCCCCAAGTCTGTTTTTCAGGTCTCAGGCTCGAAAATGACATTCCCAGAACAAATGACTATAACTTCACTTCTAAAAGGGGTAAATTAATAATCTTTTTTCTCAAAGTAAGGATAAACCTGTGAGTTGGATGTAGAAGAGTCAGAATCAATATAGATTTTTTTTTATTTGAAAGTAAATTTAGATTGAACATTATTATTGTGTCCGTCCAAAATAAACCTCTCCCCAAATTTTGGGTAGAGAGGTTTATTTTCTCATCTGGATGCATCATACGTTACATGCATGATGTGAAGGTGTTCAGACACACAGGACACATGCAGGTGTCACCTGTACCTGCTTACTTACTGTCAGCTCTTCCTCCTCATCTGCTTTCCATTCACACTCTTCATCAGTGGGCTCATAGGCTGCTTTCACTATGTCGCTTCTCTGGAGAAAGGGAGAAAAACAAAACGATAAGCATGGAGCATCATCCAGACAACAAGTACACAGAATATTATTTCAGCCTTACACAAAACCCTATATAGCTGCAGAAATACAAGTCACAATAAAGGGAGTGTATGACTGACGTACTTTGTCGAAGAGGGGCTGGTAGAGGGCCGCGTACTTTCTCTCCAGTTCGTGTACTTCTTCGTAGAACTTGGCCTCAATGTGGGCACATTTGACCTGCAGATTCTTCAGGGCGTTCACACGTCTCTTTACGACCTTTGGTAAACTGTGGCAAGACAAAATGGACAAGTATGAGGACTATCCTGTGCAAAAAAGGTGCTCAAAATGTTAGAAAGAGTGATGAAAGGGGGAGATAAAGGAAATGACATGCATAAGAGTAGCGTCCACCCCAATAAATAGCTCGCCAGTGACAACCAGCATGTTTTAATCAAGTTAAATGACATCCTTTGCATGATGGGAAGCTGGTAGAAGCCTACATAAAATCACCTTATTCTCATTCAGTGATTTTGAGAGTGATCTCCAGGCTGCTGAGTGTTTTTCTGCAGTATTGGAGATTATAAACTCCTGCACTATCCTCACAAGGGGATGCGTTTGGGATGTTGTAGCGGTTGAGTTGGTTGTTGACGGCCTAATACTTGACAAGATGATCAAAGAGCGGCTGGCTGATGGTTTTGCCGATTAAAGGAGCAGTGGGTGGCACAGACGAGACACCAGACTACATTCACTGCAGCATCCCAGACTATCACTGGTTTATCTCTGCACCAGCTCTACGCTAAATGACACCTCGTATTATATTCATCACATCATTGACCCGCCTGTCAACAGATCCATTACAGTTGAGTCAGGGTTGCCCCGCCGGCTCTGATCCTCATTTTAAACGCATTTCTAAAATGTTTATTAAATCCAATTACTCAGGCAGAGGTTGTGTATCAAACTAGCAAGTGCTATGGACAGTCTGGCCCTAATGTACATTTTTCACAGATTTTGAAGTGACTTTTATTTTGTATATATTGATTGTTGTGCTTTTATTTATGTCTTAATGTGTGCATATGTATAAAATGTGTTTGAAGATTGACAATAAAAGTTGACTTTCGAGAGAAGGCTATAGAGACAGAAAGGAGAGTGTGTGTGTGTTAGGAGAGTTATTTATGATTTTGACTAAACTGCCAATCTGCCGCTACCACCTGCACGTCATCTCTGATTAACTCAAGATAGCTTGGCAGTGTGTGGCAGGTAAAGAGAGCGAGGAAGCATATGTGTGTGTGAATTCAGCAGTAATGTAGATGTGCAGCTCCTAAAGACCATGTGCTTGTAAACGTGAGGCTGCAGATGTGATAAGATGGTGTCTCACCTCTCCATGTAGCCTGACGGCGATCCATTGAGCCCGTCGAGCCTCTCCTGCAGCGCGGCCAGGATCTGTGGGTTCTGCATCATCTGCACAGTCAGCTGACGAGCTAACAACACAAACATACGGCGTCAAAAGGGCAATCTGAAGGCAGTTGCATCGTTTCAGGAGCATTTTTTTCCTCCTGTTTTGATTAGAACTGGACTTGTGGTTGGATTAAATTAAAGGGGCCATATTCTGCTCATTCTCAGGTGTATATCAGTATGTAGTGTCTCTACTTTAAAGAGTCCTCTCCTGCTGATGTTCAGGTGTATATCAGTATGTAGTGTCTCTACTTTAAAGAGTCCTCTCCTGCTGATGTTCAGGTGTATATCAGTATGTAGTGTCTCTACTTTAAAGAGTCCTCTCCTGCTGATGTTCAGGTGTATATCAGTATGTAGTGTCTCTACTTTAAAGAGTCCTCTCCTGCTGATGTTCAGGTGTATATCAGTATGTAGTGTCTCTACTTTAAAGAGTTCTCTCCTGCTGATGTTCAGGTGTATATCAGTATGTAGTGTCTCTACTTTAAAGAGTCCTCTACTGCTGATGTTCAGGTGTATATCAGTATGTAGTGTCTCTACTTTAAAGAGTCCTCTACTGCTGATGTTCAGGTGTATATCAGTATGTAGTGTCTCTACTTTAAAGAGTCCTCTACTGCTGATGTTCAGGTGTATATCAGTATGTAGTGTCTCTACTTTAAAGAGTCCTCTCCTGCTGATGTTCAGGTGTATATCAGTATGTAGTGTCTCTACTTTAAAGAGTCCTCTACTGCTGATGTTCAGGTGTATATCAGTATGTAGTGTCTCTACTTTAAAGAGTCCTCCTGCTGATGTTCAGGTGTATATCAGTATGTAGTGTCTCTACTGGGACATGTCTCCATGCTTTAATGTTCATAAAGCTCTTTATTTTTCTCATACTGCCTGTGCTGCAGCACCTCTTTTCACCCTCTGTCTGAAACCAGAGCCCAGTCTGATTGTTTAGCTTTGAAGTGGGTGGGAGAGCAACTTGTTCCGGAGGAAACTTGGGACGTTATCCTTTGCATATCATTAACATGCACAAAGCCTATATAAAAAAAACACACTACAGGAAAGGGAAAACCCCAATTTCATAATAGGGCCTCTTTAAATTAAAGTAGGGCGGCGCGAATCATTGGGCCACACATCGGCATCTTTTGGTTTTTAATAATTTACATATCTTATTCGACTTGTGGGTTTCTCAGAGGTTGTTCCTCCTGTGTAAAATAAAGTGAGGTTTCTTAACAGCAGTTTGCAATGCATGTGTGACACTGAGTTATTTATAACCTCCCGTCAGCTTGCAGACCTTATGCAAAGCTTTCCTGACTGTGGTTGCGTCCACAGATCATTTGTAGTCTGCCAGCATGAGCCTTCTTTCAAGTCTGGCTTTTAAAAGACTATTCAAACTTGTTATAAATAGACGAGGCCAAACAGCCGTCTAAATCTATCCACAGTGAGCCGACAGGAGGCCAATATAAGAGAAGCCCTGTGGATCATTTATAGAGTATCAAAAGGATGCATAAACAGTCTTAAGATCCCAAAATAAAAACAGATTAGTGTCTGCCATCTCTGAACAGCGCAAAATCATTTCATGCTAATCACTGTTTCTCAGTTAAAGTAGCAGCCAGTATGCTTCTTCTTGAATAACTTGTACAGACCATCATTTAAACTATTAAATCTGTACTAGGGATGGGAACGATTTTTTTTTGGGAGGGGTGCCTAAGTTGATTACATATGATCAAATGGAATAATTCAATGTATACAACAGTGCCATAGCCAAGTGTGTTAGGTCTAAAGGTGTGTTTTGCTCCGCTCACCGGTCCCTCACAGCGGGCAGAGCTGCAGGTGCTGATCTCTCTCTCTCTCGCGTCCGGTTATACTTCACTCACGTTTCTGTCCAAATCCATCAGATCTAGCTAGTTCGAGCTAATGGTATGGCTGCTGCCCCTCCCTACACGCAGATCACGCAGACTCAAACCTCATCTTATGCCCAAATGCGCTCCGCAGTTACCCCATTGCAAGGTTCCGGCGAGTTCACGAGTGTGCTCTTTCCCCCCCCCCCCCCCGCCAACGCTCGCGACACATGAGTGGGCAGCCTACACAACAATAAGCACTGCTTGGCAATCGTGTGTGGCGGCAAAGTACAAAGACATTTTGACAGGAGAGATTCAGTTTTGCCGGTATTCAGCATATTTTACCGGTCATAGTCCAGTAATTATTTACACTCTAACGGAGAGTCCTACACAACAGACATGGCGTCAAAACCAAGTTATGTTTTAAGCATGAAAGCTGTAGGCCTATAGCTGTCAACTGTTCAAACTGTGATCACCAGTTCAATACATTTCACAAATTCGACTTGGTTTGGATATGTACATTGCGGTTAACCGTTATTTTGGTGATCGAATATACATTTGCTTCCAAATTCCCATCCCTCATCTGTGCCGTTGCGTTTTTTGCAGTACAACTTACCTTTGCTGTTTTCATCTTCTCCCGTCTCTTCCTCTTCCACATCTTCAACATCCTCCATATCTGCCGGGTCTATCTCAGCCTGGTCTTTGCTGCAGGGAGACAGAGGTCATTGTTACACAGGGGGCATGTTTAGGGTTCATCTTTCACTGGATTTGGCCACCTTGCACTCTGTTTTGTCGCGTGACCAAGCAATGAACTCTTTATTTATGCTTGGTTGGCTTCAATTATCCCAGAAAAAAGTACAACTGAAGCTTCAAAGAATGGTCATTAAACGTGAATCTATGCAACAGCTGCAGCATGTCTTCCTCAAGGTCACTTTAGTCTGTAATCGAGGAGTAGTTGTCATATAACATGTCTTTAACCCTCCTATTGTCTGTGTTCACCCCCCCCTTACTTTGGTGTTCGCGGTCAAATTTGACCGGTCCTGTTTTAACTGCCATTACATTAACACAAAAACCATTAATCACCCAATTTTATTTAACACCCTTTCAAACTGTACATATTGTATCAGACTACTGGTATACATGAACAACTGCAGTACATATAAATCAATGGCCAACAGTGAGAGACTGCGTCCTTTTCTTGATGCAGTGATGTTACGATCTGCTACTCAAATGTTAGGATCTGAGTTTTGGCGTGGCATCCGAAACAGCCCTAATCTTGATCAAGTGGTGCAGTGATGACATTTGTAGGCTACCAACAATTGGAATTGCAAGAGAGCCCCAGCGTCAAAAAGCACATGTGATCTTTTCCATGAGATTTCGGAAAATTAGACTTGTTGAAATCGCACATTAATGATACTTAAAACGTTTAGTTCAGAATGATAATCTCCACATATTTACCCCATTTTGTGATTTTGGAAGCGTAAATACAATCGCTAAAAGTTATTCTATAAAAGGAACTACAGCACGGTCACATAACCACTGCTAAGCTAAAGGCGGCTAATGTTGTGTATGATGATGTTAAGTCTTCTAATTTACACTAAATTCACCGTATTTCAGTCCTCTAATAGACGATGCATTTATAAAAGCGTTGACTTTGAGACAAGGGAACCAGAAGTGGTCAAATGCTAACTCATTCCCAGGTTTGAGGCCTCATTGGGAATAAAGTTACAACAGTAAGATCTAAAAAGGAGTGCACAACATAATGATGCGTTAAAGGTCCTTTCAGTAAGAACAGTGGATATTGGGCAAAGGTCAATTATAACATTACCACGATGTGACACTGATGATCACTTACAAATAACATCATTTTCTATAGGAACAAGTTCAAAATGACTTCAGGCAAGTTAAATATGGAAAGATACAATAATATTAAACCCCATTTCTTTATTTTTTGAGTTATCATCTTGACCTCAGTGATATAACAGCAGGTGATTTCCTCTCATCTGTCAGAGACGCCATAAGCATTCGGCTGAAAGAGGAGACAGGTGGCGTTGATGTCAAGTGTTTGACACATCGCTGGAGGAAGATGTACTTACTTGTCGATGTCTGCCATTTCAGCTGAGTCTCGAGTGATGCTAAGGAGAGAGGAGGAGGAGAAGTAATACGTTTAGAAACACTGGATAACATTCATGTGATTTTTAAATTACATTTCAGGGTCACCGTCATAGCATTAGCAAATAAATCCTGATGCTAATTATAGGATGCTTAAATTATAACGGAAGGTTTTTTTTTGTAGTTTAGTGCAAAAACACTTACATATTACACAGCTAGCATCCTAATAGACTTCTTTAAAATAAGGTCCAATCTGTTTAATACACATTTTGTTGGTTCACCTTCAATCTTACATCTTCTACTGGTAATCATTAGAAACAGGCCATTAAAAATGAATCTTTATGGGTCTTCTATTTATAGATTGTTCAGCTCTGTTGCCCAGTCATGATCCTATACCTGCAACAATATTGCTGTATGTGCAATCCCACTGGGAGGAAATGCATAAAACATGGATATAAAAAGAACCCGATGCAGCAGATGAGCTGAACTCAAACCTAGCCAACAGCTGAAGATGATCATTATTGACATTGTTTTAATAAACGGCAGCTTTGACATTGATATCAGCGATACAGAAACATTAAAAATGCAAGCTGAACCAAAATAAAAAGTCTTCCTGGTGCTTTAAAGTTTCTCCAGCAATTTTCCACAAAAGCATGCAATAAATATTTCATCTTAAACCCTTTTCTAGTCATGCATTAAACGCCAATAATATTATATTTGTAGCGCCTCTTAATCCCCATATTGTGCCATCTCTCTCTTGTTGAATGACAGCTGTACATGTTGAAGTTGTTTTAAGTTGCATCTAGATGAGGCCATAACTTCTTCCAAAGAAACATGTATATATAGTATATTATGTCGTCATTGTATTACAAAATAACTCAAGGCAAGCTGTACTTAAAGTCAAATACGTTTATAAAGACTCACTCTGTTAAACGCCATGCATAACTATAGAAAAACAGGTCTTTTGAATGTTGATAAATGGAAGAGTTGGCAAACAATTATTATACAAAACCCCTCGTTTCTGCCGCTACTTGGACTATTCCACATCGCCTTCTAACAGAAGTACTAATCATACTGTTGATCTAATTTAAGAACATTTAATAAGTGTCAATTAATGATTTATAGCGTTAAATAATTGTGAGTTCATGAGAGAACTCGGCCAATTATGAAACCTCTTTTGTAGAGGAAGCTTTTAACTCTTAAACTATCAACCTGGGACCCCCGCAGGTGCTTTTATCTCATCATTTGTCAATCAATTTGCTTCTAAAAAACGTTATAACATAGGTTCCCCTTTTTGTTTTGATAGTAAGTGTAAATACTTATGTATAGGTCTCGTGGGGGAAGCCATACACATATGTCCTCAGTCTATAATAATATGCAAATGTCCTGTAACTTCCTTAAAAGATGATATGCATGTCTTTAAATGACATTACATAACTAATCTTCTGTATTATGTGGCCTACATTCAGCTAATAGAGCGATACAGCTGAACTACAGAGCTGATGTGACAGCTGACGTTATTCTCCTTCATGCCAAATTATTGATGTAGAAAGCTTTTGGCTGCAGCACACTTAAAAGAAATGTCATGTCTCTTTGTTCCAAGATGGGTTATATTATTGCTTTTTAATTAAGGACACATGATTGCAGTTTAACAATGTATTAACTGCGAGACCAGGCTCCAGCATTTCAATCAATGTACATGTCGCAAGTTGTCAATCATCTAAAAAGCTAAGAGGATTACATTCAAGAGACATGTTTAATAGACAATGAATGAGCTTAAAACATGTCATGTTCAGTTTGCAATGTTACTGCAATAGAAAAGAGTATTTTAATCATCTCACACCTGTCACAAAAGTCAATAATTACCAACTAGCTACTGGACAATTAATTAAATTGATATACCTCACTATATTTCAGACAGTACATGTATTTAATACCTTAAGTTCCACCTGGAGTAAATCCACAAGCTACCCTGCAGTATACAAAGTAATTCAAACTAGCTGCACCTTTACCAGCTTTGAGAACACTTTCATGATCAATCATTATAAAACATATCATATATATTATTCTGAAATGGACCAATCTGCACAATCACTACATTTACTGTCGCTACTTTCACTATATTTTGATGCCAATACTTTTACTTGAGTAACCTTATGAATGAAATACTTACTATTGTCAATGTAACTTACAAAAGGATGTTTAAATCCTCTCACACCTGTCACAAAAAGCCAACAATTACCAACTAGCCTCTGGGCAATCCCTTTTTTCCTAGAACTGAAATGCATGCGTTACAGACTTTCTTTTCTTTTTTACTTTCTGGCACATGCCTTTCTCTCCTGATCCTGACCAGCGACCACGTGTTGCATACTCAGGTCTAGCAAACCCATCAATGACTACCAAACCTCCCCTTGTGGATGCCTGTCTGTCTGCACACTGGAGCCACATGTGTAAACTTCATTTGGATCAAACCTGTCACGTTTACTGTCCCACGTCAAACAATGAAAGTAGCATTTGGTTCCCATAAAAACAAGCCGAAACAGGCTAGTAACAAGCTAGTAAACAGGCTAACTTTAGCCGGCCTACCCGGTATTGTCAATGCCTCAATGGGCTACTTAAACTAGCTTATGTACTGCTAGCTTTATACGCACTATTTGGGCTGTTTAAGTGGAAAGAACAGCATCAAAAAACAATGGAACATGATATAATATAATATCATCCAGTAAGTACTTAAGTTATAAGCTTTAAACAGTGCGAATAATGTGTTTAGCTCCCTTAAGCCTAGTCTCCATCCCCACCCCGTTATCATCCTGCAAAAAAAAAATTAAGGTCATGTCCTAAAAGACACAAAACACGTGTCAACAAATATCGACAGTAACGGCCATTAACTGACGTTCTGTCGACTGTTTAAAAGCACTGATTGTCATAGCAACCCAACGGTAAAGGTTATGAATTATAGCCGTTTTTTTTTTTTTTGTAATCGCATAATGGTGGAGCCTCAATGGCTGCTGTCTGACTTCACTAGAGGGGGGAAAAGCGGCCTTTCTCTTCCGCCCTTCCGTTAAAGGCAGTAAATGTACCGTGTGAAACCCCGCACACGATTCGGGGTGTTGTCCACGGAGCTCGTTAACGGGTAGCGAGTCTCTTACCTTCGCTGTGTGACCGGAGGTGGTGAAGCGGGGCTGCGCAGTGACGAGGTCCCGGTGGAAGAAAGACACTCCGCTCCGATGGCGGTAAAAGGAAGAGAGATCCCGCCGCCTGCGCTCATATACATCCGACGTCATCACGTAAACCGGCAGTCACCGTGGCAACGCTGGAAAAGGGGAGGGGCGGAGATGAGGTGCCCCAAAAAGGGGAAGTATAAGGGATGAGGGACCACCACCATCATCGTGATTAAATCCTCCTCTTCCTCACCTTTTCATTCTTAATTACACCGTTTTAATTTAATTTTGTATATTTAAATGTGGTATAAATACTTGTCTTTATTTTTTTTTCATGTTAAACCGTTCTTTTTACATTTTCTTTTTATTATCGTTATATTTTTGACCTTCTCCTTCAACTTATTTACTTATGTTGTTAATATTTGCACCAACATACACCAAATGTAATCCCTTATATGTGTAAACGTACCTGGCAATAAACTTAATTCTGATTCTGATGTTTCCTTGTTTAGCTGATGCTCAAAAAACTCTTAATAAAAGTTATTATTTATTTTTATTGTTGCTGTTGAATTACTTACCGCTTGAAACAAACAAGCCCGTTTCCCCGTGGTCAAACTTCTTAAAAGATGTTAAAATACTGTATGTTTTAGCGGAGTAGCCTATTTAATCTGTTTTTATTGGTTTATGTATAACCTGTGAACAAGTTGACACTGTTTAAAATACACTTAATTGATGGCTTGTGACTTTTTAGTACAACTATTTATATCACATAATTTGTCAACCATCTTTCTTTTCCCCCCGCTTCCACATCATCAATGTCCTAGTCATTTTTAGTATATACTTCAAACCTCATGTTCATGTCAATTCAAATCAGTTTCTTTGTTTAGCCCAATATCACAAATCAGACAATTTCCTAATGAGGCTTTACAATAATTACAATATACAACATTGGACTACTTAACGACTAGTTTAATTGTAAAAAAAATAACCAAATAAAAAGCAGTACATGAAGTGAAGATAATTATATTTTGTGAAAATGATTTTATGCATGCACTCATTTTGTGAAAGTAAATGTCGGTTCATTTTTCAAGAAGTGTCATATTTTTTTATAACGTTTTAAATAACAAGTAAGCACCTTCTCTGAACAGAATCCTCTCCTCTGAGTGTGCAGTTATGGCGGCAGATCGCTGTCAGCAGGATATCTGATGAGCTTCAAACTGAACATGGATCCTGAGAGCGACAGTATTTACATTTCACTTAAGTGCACCAAGCAGAAGTCAGAAAACAGACACTGATCTGAGACCTGCTGCAGGGATAAGAATCAGGTTCCTATTAACAATGCCGCAGATTCTAGCCTCAAAATGTCATAGTGGGGTTTGTGTCTGGACCCTTAGCACTGCCACCAACTTCTCCACTGCTTATGAGAGCAATGAGAAACCTTCAATGTCTGTAAAAACTCATTAAGTCAGTGGGTAACCGAGAATTAGAAAGCTGTAAACGATCATTAGAAAACTGCACTAAAATTGGTTGGCAGGTAGTGATTATTACTTAATTTCTAAATGTATTTAAGGAGAATTACTCTGAAATGCAAACTTTATTTACATTTTTAATTACAGAGCTGTTATTTTAGTAACAACAGGGCATTGTAAAAAGGATTTCCCATTAGATTTTCTCCAATTAACAGCCGTAAAAATAAAGTATAGCATTACACAAAATGGAAAGATAAGAAGAGTGGTACCACATTTTAAAATTGTATTTACAAAATTGTAAATCGGCTGTAATTTAGAGAAGGTTGTGAACTTTAAGACCATGTAAAGTAATGGACTAAATACATTTTGGATCCAAGCTTATAGCTACCAAATTGTTTTCCTTTCCTAAAAGCAATTTGTACATAAGAAAATAAATAATGTCATGTGTTTATCCGTTTGAATAGAAGAAATTAGCTTTGCACTCCCTGAGTCACTTCTAGTAAGTAAGCTAACATTTTAGAGCTACAGCAACTAGGTGAAAAACTGTTTCTATAGTAGAGATGTGTTGCTCGTCAAGAGCTACACAACGTGTCTTGCACTTGCAAAAATAATAAAAGGAAGCGAATAAAACTTGAAATATTCAGTCTCTACTAGTTCGTAAGCTAACAGCTAATCATGTGTTGCTAGCTAAGAATCTTGCACTTTTGCTAACCCAAACTCTAGAATAAACCTCCACTTCTAGTTAAAAAAAGCTGACATTTTACAGCTAAAGCAAATAGGTAACAGTTTCCAACTATATTATAAGTACTGAAACAACATCATGTGTTGCTAACTAAGAGCTACATAACATGTCTTACGTTTTTGCTAACCCAAACTTCTGAACATTTCAGTCACTTCTAGTTAGTAAGATAACAGCTAATCATGTGTTGCTAGCTAAGAGCTACACTTTATATTTCGTAGCTGCTACATTGTACTGCCATGTGGTAAATGCTTATATGCTGCTCATGCTCTTTCTGCATATCATGTATTTATTTTGCTATGTTTATAAATGTCACGTTCTTAAATGTTGTATGTGAAGGACTACGGATGGAAACTAGCTCAAAGCTAAAATCCGGCATGTTTACGTTTTTAAAGCATTATTTGTTTTAAATGTTCATCAATGTGCACTGTCCCTCTTCAAATAAACGATTAAATGAAAAATGAAAAAACGACAGGCCTTTTCATTTTGGCAAACCCAAACTCTAGAAAATATCCTCCACTTCTAGTTAAAAAAAGCTGACATTTTACAGCTAAAGCAACTAGTTTACAGTTTCCAAAGTACTGACACAGCATCATGTGTTGCTAGCTAAGAGCTACACGAGAGGCCTTTGCTAACCCGAACTTCAGATTCAAACTATTCAATATTCATTTTATTTGCAGACATATCTGTAAGGATCATAGATGGAAATTAGCTATTAGTTTAAATCTGGCATAAATCCTATCTTCTCTTTTCTGAGATTACAATCCAGTCTCACGGAATTTGTGAGGAGGCGTGTGGTTGTGTGTTGGTTTTCGGATCAGGTGGTGGTCACAGGTACAAACCCCACTGCAGTCAGCATGTCGTTGTGTCCCTGAGACACTTCACCCCAAATTGCTCCTGTGGGGATTGTCCACAGTATTGAGTATGTAAGTCGCTTTGGATAAAAGCGTCTAACAAGTAACATGTAATGTAATGTAGGTCCTTGTTTAAATAAATACATACATTGTAATTGTAAACCCATACAGCTACAAAGCTAGCATATCTAACCATATTAACAATATGTTGAGCATCATCAATGCAATAAACATCCTGAGAAAACAGCTGACAACATAGCACAGAGAGCCTTTGTCCTTGGGGAATCAATCTAAATGTGCAGTGTGGACCGTGTTTGGAAAAACACCTTTGCTCATGTTGGCTCATATGAATTAGCCCGGCCTCTAAATGTCATCTGAAATGTCACTGCCCTCCTGGAGCAGATCTGTGTTCGTCAGGGCGTCTCAGTCTCACATTGTTCACTGGGAGATTCACAAGAGATATCAAGTGCATTAATAGCTTCGCCTTGTTTGCACACAGTGACCTGAGTTTGAGGGGAAATGCACACCGGTTAGTTACTGCAAATGCTTTTAAGTTGATCCCTCTGAATTATTAAGAGACAAAGGGGGCAGACCTTCAAGGAGCCAATTAAGCAACAAATAAATAATAACATGTTGACAGCGTGCACAAATTGTGACACGCCAGTAATGATGAAGTACTTCTAGTAGAAATTAAGAGTGTCTGCAGGAACGTCACTGATATTTTGTTTCAAATATTTTTATTGAGAAGAAGCATACAAGTGTAAGCAATAGTTCAGACTTCTTTGGGGTGGACATCCTGCTTCTCTTTTTCAACATAGAAGAAGCCAACAAGAAATAATAAAGAAAAAACATAGCAATACTTAATGACATGCATAGTCATAGTGGGAAAGAACATAATAATTACAAATATTTTTAAAAGTTTTTGTTGACTAAATCCTGACATAAAAATGATTATTATGTCGTTTTTAGAAATGGCATTTGACGTGTAGATTACTCCTTATGTTTGAAGACATAATAATAATACATTTCATTTGTATAGCACGCTTTAAAAACAACGTCATCTCAAGGTGCTTCACAATGCTATAATAATAAAACAAATAAAATACAAAGTTATCTAAGGAGCATATTGAATAAAATATGATAATATACATGTTCCTACTCCTCCTTTAGTGTGTGCAGAACTTGCATTAAGTTCATTAATTTCCCAAGAACATCTAATGTAGCTCCATACTGCGTCTGCACACGTCATGCACAAAGTTGTTTTACATGCACTACGACACATTGTTGTTCACACGTACTGAATGTCAGACTCAGCACAAACATAAAATATTTATAGACTGAATTCCTTGTGTTACAGAAAACACTTTTGCAGACTTATATGAAGATTCTGGTCTGTGTGGCTTTAACACTGCACTTATTATCATGTACATTTATACTATTACTTATTTATACTCATGCATTTAACACACTTTATCATAGATCCCATATTTTATGTATATTTTACACATTACATTGTTATATGTTGTAGTATAATGTACATTGCTTTATATATTTTTTACTGTACATTTGTATTTCAATATATGTATATTTTCTACTTTTTTTAATGCTAATTTATTTCTATTGGAGATGTTTACATTTTTGAATTGTTTATTCCTAGTCTTTTAATTTCTCTAATGCACAATGCTTTGTCTTTTTTAGAACCAGAATTACCTCCAGAGTTAAGTGACGTATTTCTGATCAACAAACACATGCAAACATTGGACATTTTGACATTGAAATGTACAAACCTTTAGTGAATCAGCCTCTTCACAAACAGTAGACACTACAGGTTTTTCTGTCCTCACAACACTGACCAACAGCAGCAGTCTTAATTTAGACATTCAAGTGAGTTTAAAGTGGCCTGGTTAGACTTGTCACGTAACTAAAGTGAGTGGAAATACAGTTATTTCATCTATGGTGACGTTAGATGCACATTTGAGTTCCTGCACACCCACACAGGTGTTTTCTATTGTGGCGGATTTGACCTCTCCTCAG